GGGTGCAAGTTGTCCAAGCATGACCATTCCCCTGGGAGCCATGGGCAGAGGAAAGTGCATCCAGCATCTTTGGGATGGGAGCTGCAAGCACAGGTAGGTATCAGAGTAAAAGGAGCTGGTCAGCCAAGGGCAGGAGTGGGGGCATGGGCTCAGCCCCAGATTGGGCCCAACCAATTCCTTTCCATCAGCACCTGTCCATCCTGGGTGAGCCTCCTCAGCTACAAACACTTTCACCTTGGCCTAGAAGTGACAAAGAAACCCCATGCCCTGCTGTGATCCCAAAAGCCGCAGTTGGTTCTGTCCCCTTGGCTGGTTTTATTATCCTTGCAGTCCATCATGGCCCTTGTGCAGGCTGTGCGTGCTCAGAGCAGTGGAAGCTGGGCTCCTGGACAGAGCAGATTGCTGTGTGCTGCTGCTAGGAGCCATGTGGCCAGGACTTGATGAGGCTGGGGAGCTATGGCTCTGCTGAGGAGCCTGAGACCACTGTTAGAGAGATCACATACCTGGCACCAGGCCATCAGCCACCAGGTCCAGACAGGACTTGAGGGACCCTAACCACATTGGAAAAATAGTGTCAGGGAGGCTGGGTTAGCTGGAAACTCACCAGTATCCACAGAGGTGGTAGCATCCTAGGACTTTTGTGTGTCTGGATCCAGGCAGTCACCCTGGAAGCTCTGAGTGGAGCCAAGAGGGAACCAGGCACAGCACTTGTGTCACCATCCTCAGCTGTGCATCCAGTTCACCTCCTCTGGGATCCTGGACTCCACAGTCCCCTCTGGGTCTCCATGGCTAGCCCAGAGGATGGTCGCAGCTGTGGCTGGGCTCAGGTGCTGGAAGTTCAGGCTGAGGGCAAATGGGCACCTCTAAAGGGACCTCAAGCCAAAGTCCTGGGAGTTGGGAGGGACCAAAGGGATCACATCCATGTAGGGGTGCTGCAACTTCAGAGGGTTACAAGCCAAATGATCTGCCTCCTGCCCCCCCTTCCCTCCCAGGGCAGAACTGGCTAGCTCGATCCTCCTTCAGCTCTTGGCAAAAAGAGAAACTGAGGCATGGAGCAGTGGGCACACAGCTCTGGCCCCTGCTCTGTGGCCTTGCCAAGCTGCACCACAGCAAAGCTCTGCCATGACCTCTGGCAAACAACAAGTCCTGTGGCCACCATTCTGCCCCATGGCACACAGCTCTGTCCATGCTGCATCACTCGTGCTTGGTTGCCTGTGGAACCAGCTGGCTCCCCTGCCCCATGGTCTGCCCAGGTCATGCAGGGCACCTCTGGGCTTTTCCTCTCTTCCCAGCTGGGAAGGCTCCTGGAAGCAGCCTACCATGGGGACTGTATTTCTCAACTGCTTGCTTGGCCCTTGCAGTCCCTTGGGAGTAGGCTCCATCCCTCACAAGCTGGATCTCTCCACCAAGTGTGGCCTCATGGGGAGTGCCCAGGCACTGGGGCTGGCATGAGTACAGCCCCTTTTTCAGCCTAGACATCTCCAGGCAGATCCTGGAGGAACATCTAGACAGGCAGAGCCAAGGAACTGGCTGTGGCAGAGACAAGCTGAGCAGACCCACTGTGCATCCTTTGCCCTGCTTCTGCCTGACCATGTGGGGCCTGAGTAAGTAGGGAGGGCCCGGCTTGCTGGGCTTGTCGGGGGTACCTCACCCCCAGGGAGGGCGGGCTGAGCAGCCCAACATGTGATGTCTTGCACCAAAAACCCCCTGCAAGTTGTCCCAGGACTGCACCCTGCCCCTTTCCCAGAGCTCCAGGGGGTCTGGTACATCCTTTGGGTCTGGAGAACCACTTCTGTGGAGTGCCTGGGAGGAATGTGGGCTCAAAGGGCATCAGCAGGCACCGCGGGTGGCTCTCAGCATTAAATTACTGGATGGAGCAAAGGCAGGGGGGTTTCCCACACTGTGGGACCACTGCATGTCAGAGCTCTCCAGGCCTGACCTCCTTTTCTTCCACCTCCACATCCTGAGTGGGTGGAAAGCGAGGATGTTCATGTGTGACTGATCAGCAGGTCCATCAGGCTGGAGGGTACCCTGGAAGTCCTGCGCATACTCCTTGTGCCTGCAGAAGCCATCAGATTAGCCAGGACACGCTGGCTTGATGTGTTGAACCCAGCACACTCATACACACTCATCGTGGCTGGGATTTCCAAAGCCCCATCCAACACCACAGGATGTCCAAGGGTGGACTGCACATTGTGCCCAACGTTCAGGATAATGCAACTTACTCCAGAGGAAAATGCTTTATATTATATGAATCAAAGCAGATTAAAAAAAACCCAAACAACCATTCATGGGTTAATATATGAGATGTACATAACAAAGAAAATGGGAAGTATGTCACAGGATTGTGACTTGAGTCAGCTGTTTCCAGTAAACTTGATGCACAGGAGGTTTCGATGGGCATTTCCTGCAGGGGCTTGGGGATTGCTGCCATGGGCAGCACTTGCTGCAAGAGGAAGGAGCTTGGGGAAGGGGGACCGGAGCTCTGAGGTGGTGGTGCGGGGCTGGGCAGCGCTGGTGCTTTAGAAGCAGTCGCTTCGTAGAGGCTGTGGCTGGTCTGACGTGCTTATCTGGAGGTTGAGCTCTGTTGAGCTGAGGGTCGTGGGTGGGTTTTGCAGCTGGTTCCCCTCGTACATGGCATATTCCTCATGACGCTGCTGCCGGAGGTGCCAGAGGATCTCTCTGGACAAAAAGTGGGTCTCTGCTTCACCCAACTCTGGAACAAAAGAAAGACAAAACCCACCTTCACTGGTCTGGCCTGAGGCAGGGGTCTGGGCAGGGAGCAGAGCAGAATCTCTGGGAGATGCCCTAAAATATGCTGAATTTCTCAAGAAATCAAAAGATGGTTCTTACTTCCCTCTTTCAGCATGCCAGAAGAAAGAAAAGAGAACACAAAGTACAGGAAGGAGAGTAAAATACAGGCACTATGTGCTGGTTTCCCAGTAGTGCTTGTTGTGATGGGAACTACCTTGCTGGATAGAAATGCTTCTCCCCGTCAGGGAGAGCACTGAATTTCCTCTGAAAAACAGTGAGATTCATTTCAGCAAGAAGCAGCAAGCTGTTTTCAAGCCCTGGTGCTCTAGCAGAGGTGAGAAGAAGGGAAATTAAAAGGAAGAAGGAATAGCCTCACTCCTTCTTGTCCCCTGTCCGGAGGAATGCCACTGAGCCAGCACACACACCGACACCCATCCCAGTGCCGGGGAGGGCTTGACAGCCCCAGCCATTTCTCCCGGGAATGTCAGCAGCAAAGGGAGCTGCTCCTTTCCCGGGAAGCCCACTGTCATGTTTAATCCTTGAGGGAGTGTTCTTGCTGCCTCAGCAGAAGACTGCTTGTCTTGGGTGCCCCTGGGGACTTCAAGAGGGACCAGCTCTGCCAGCATCCTCCCCACTCCTCTGAGACCCACAGCAAGTCATTCTGTGTCGGGAAGCGGCCCCTTCCTCCCACTGCTGCAGGGACCCCCATGCTTGTGTGTGTGGGGACAGCAGCCAAGCACTATGTGGATCCTGCCTACTTCCCCTGCTTTGCCCTGATCCGAGGTCACTCAAGGGGCTGGGGGAGCAGAGCCACCGTGCTGGGGACCCCCACCCTCTTCCCCTCCTCACTCACCCTCGTACACAATGAGCCGGTAGGTCCCCGCGCACTCCCTGGAGCCTTTCAGGATCTCCTCCAATGTCCTGTAGAAAAGCTTCGCCTGCTCCAGGCGGTCCTCCCGGCTGAAGGCAGCACACTCATCCTGGGACATGGCGTAGAGGGACTGCAGTGGGGTAGCATACTCCACTGCACAGTGCCAGGGCTGCAGGGGTGGAAGAAAAAGACTTGGGGGCAGGAGGACCAAGCGCCTGGCAAAGGGCTGCTGGGGCACCCTGGTGCTGTGCAGAGCTTTCAAGACCCCTCAGCAGCTCTATGCCTGCCCTGTGCTGGTGCTGTGTGCTGGACCCCCAGGACAGGGACACTAGTTCTGACCCCAATGTCCTCCTGCCCTGTGTTAAGTGGGAAAGAGCAACTGGCCTGGCAGGGAGGCAGGGATGGCTGCGCACCGTGCACCACCTGGTCTCACGAGGACCCTTCCATCCTTGTGAGGCTCCAGGGTGCAGCCACTGGCTTTGGCAGCACTCCCAAGCCGCGGCCTGGGGAGGGATTTTCCTCATGGATTTTGGTCCTCTATGGAGAAGCCCCTTGCCTATGTCTGACCACACCTTCTTGGTGGCTTTTCTGCTAGAGAAGGGGAAGTCTGAGCATCCTAATGGAGAGCAGAATGGAGAAGAGGATAAATGCTGATAAAGTGAATGCACAGCTAGAAGGAGGCTGATCAAACAAATGAGAGATTTGTTAAGGCCATAAAAATTACAAGGAGGAGCAGGGTTAGCGGTAAGTCTTCTACTGGGCAAACTGGAAAGTTTAATAAAGTGTATTAGAAGGAAGAAGGACGGGATTCCTGGTTAAATGCAGAGTAGCAGGAAGAGCTACCAGCCTTGGAGGGCAGTTGCCACAGTGACCATGAGCAGGTGCCAAGGATGGGAGCTGTCATCGCTGCCACACAACTGGGCAGCAAGCGGAGGGACAGGTTTTACAGAAAACATGCAGTGGGTCAGGACAGGCCCAGGCTGCAGAGCTGCTGGAGCTCACTTGGAGCCGAGTGACTCAGCAGGAGACTGGCAGATGAAACACAGCATCAGTGCGTGCATTGTAGCAGGAAAAACCCAGTGCTGACTGCACTTCCCAGGGAGCAGGGCCAGGAAAGGGGCTCTGGAGACCCTACAGGCAGGGCTTTAAAGGTAGCAGCTCAGTGCTCAGCCATCATCAAAGAGCAAATTAAGGAGACTCAGGGTGAGAAGCATCGCTCTGCCAACGCCTCCATCCATGGCCGTGTCAGCAGGACCAGCATGTTCCCTCCTCCAAGGGTGCAGGGGCAGAGGCCCATCTGCCTGGAGATGTGGAAGGAGATGAATGCAATATGAGACAGAGGGATTTAGGGCTTGTCAGCCTGGCAAAGAGGTGACTGGGGGAAGGGGAGGGAGTAAAATTGTATAATGACTCACACAGACATTTTCAAGCACTTCTTCACAACAAAAGGAAATGCTCATTTGCCCCATGGAAACTGATGCTATGGACCCCACATCTGCTTTCTTCTACTCAGTTTTCTGCTGTTTTACAGACTTAAATCAACTCCAGGAGGGGTTAAGTGAGCCCAACATCCCTGCAAGGGCTGAGCCTAGGAGGAGGCAGCCATGAGGAAGGGGTGCAGATGGCCGGCATGGACAGGACCTCTCCATCTCACAGGAACCTGCTGAAATCTGGCAGCATCTAATAGGAAAGGGGACATTGTCCTGCCCTTATGGCCACTTCTGGGCCGGGATCTGAGGCCAGGAAGACCTTTGGGCTGATGCATGCCAACTTCTCTACTGACACTGCACTCAATATACCTTATTGTCTTCATCCCTGATGGCATAGAGGCTGTGTTTGTAGACCCTTTTTTTGATGCCAGCTCGGTTCTGGGTGGTTTCAGTGAGGTCTGTCAGGTATTGGATATTGCTGTCAGCTTTCTCCAGGTCATCATAGACATCACAGCTCAGAGGGACCAAGATGTGGAGCTTCCAGGTCTCCCTGCATGCCTGCATGTTGGGGTTGGCTCTGGTGAATTCTTCCATCGACTTTTTCACTCCTGGTGGAAGAAAGGATTGGACAGAGGTGCCTGGCATGAGTACAGCTGCTTTCTACCTTGCTCCTGTTTCCCCTGCTAACACTGTAAAAGTGGGAGGATTGTTATTAGGAGCTATTTCTATCTGTAGGAATTATAATGCAGGGAAACAGCTACGTACGTGGCAGGACTATTTTTAGGTACCCAACATAATAAGACCAGGCAAGCCCATGAGCGACATTCTGCTTGGACCTCTCGGACATCTCAGACATTTCCACTGCTGAGGGCTTCTGTGGAGGGAAGGAAAGAGGCCAGAGGTAATGAAAGCAGCCACCTGGGCTCTTCTGCAACAGCCGGGTGTCTAAAGGGATTGGAGAGCAGCCATCCTTTCCAAGGAGATCTGGAGAGTGAGCAGCCCTGCTGCCCACTTCCATCACCATGCTGGGCAGCGGGGCCAAGTCCTCGATGGCCCACACAGCCCCTGCAGATGAGGAAGCAGATGCTGGAGTGAGCCAGACACATTTCTGGCTGCAGCCTCCATTGGGATTGTGTGTCCCAGTGCAAGTTGTGCATCTGCCCAGTGCTTCCAGCATGCGACATGAGACATCCCAGTGCCCAATAGTGGGATTTCCAGGGCCACCAGTGGCCCTTGTCAGCTCTGTGTGTTCATTTAGGTGGAAATGAGTGTTGAAACCCTGCAGGCACCTGAAAGCTGCCCTCCCCAACGCACCTTTCCATAGCCTGTGTGACCCCTCTCTCTTTCCAGCTCTGCTGGGGTAAAGCAGAGCCCTCCCAATGCTGCAGAGGTACCCGGAGCTTGGCCCTGTCACCCACAGCACACCTGATAATTAACCCTTTGGAGACTGCACAGGCCACCCTTTCCCCCCAGGCACCAGCCTGACTGACGGATTTAAAAATCCCCCTGTTTTTTGTGCCAGCAGGGCTTTAGCTGCAGCAGGGCTGCTGCCAGCACCCTGGGGTGGCTGTGCTTATTTAAAGGCAGCCTGGCCCTCCTCCCACCCCACGTGGTGGCATGGGGCTGAGGAGATCAGCCTGAGGTAATGAGAGTGTTTCTTCT